CAGCGCTGCTGCAGGGGGCCCCCCAGGGGGGTCAGCCCCACAGAGGGGTCAGCCCCACCATCCCCGGCTCGGCCCCAGACTCCTGCCCCGGCCTCTCCCCGGGCACAACGCGGGCCGGGAGCGCTGCGGGGGCTCCGCTCCGACCCCACCGCCCCGGGGGCTCCCCGCGGGCACCGAGCGGCCGCGCCCCGCCGGGCGCTGCCCTGGGCGGCCCCGCCGCGGAGCCGGGGCGCGGGGAGCCCTATGCAAATCAGGGATCGGCGCGGCGGCCAATGGGAGCCGAGCCGCCCGCGGCGCCAGCCAATGGGGAGCGGCGGCGGCGGGGCGGGCAGCGATATCCGCGGCGCGGCGGCGGTGGAGCGGGCAGTGCGGCGGCGGGCGGCGGGCAGGGCGGAGCGGAGCGGAAGCGGGCGGCAGCGGTAAGGGCGGCGGGGGGACGGCGTTTAGCGGCCCGGTAGCGCTCGGAGCGGCCCGGTACAGCTCGGTACAGCTCGGTACGACCCGGCTCTTTGCGTTTTAACGGTGTTTGTCTCTCCGCAGGCGCCCGGACCGTCAGTGCGCGGCGCTGCAGGGCGGCTGAGCGGCCGCTGCCTGCCGGCCATGTCGGGCCGCGGCAAGTCCGGCGGCAAGGCGCGGGCCAAGGCCAAGTCGCGCTCGTCGCGGGCCGGGCTGCAGTTCCCGGTGGGCCGCGTGCACCGGCTGCTGCGCAAGGGGAACTACGCGGAGCGGGTGGGCGCCGGGGCGCCGGTGTACCTGGCGGCCGTGCTGGAGTACCTCTCGGCCGAGATCCTGGAGCTGGCGGGCAACGCGGCCCGCGACAACAAGAAGACGCGCATCATCCCGCGGCACCTGCAGCTGGCCATCCGCAACGACGAGGAGCTCAACAAGCTGCTGGGCGGCGTGACCATCGCGCAGGGCGGTGTCCTGCCCAACATCCAGGCCGTGCTGCTGCCCAAGAAGACGCAGAGCTCCAAGAAGTGAGCGCTGGGCGCCCCTCCCCTGCTCCTGGTCCCCCCCTGCCTCGCTGCTGCCCGCCCTGCTGTCCCCGTGGGGATGGGGGTCCCCTTCCTGCCCCTCCAGCCTATCTGGGTGGCCGGCCCTGGCTGCAGCCCGCCAGCCCTCCGCTAGCCCCCCGTCCTGGGCTGCGGCGGGGTGCTGGGTGAGGTCTGCTTGTGCCCCCGCCCTACCCCTCTTCCCTCTGGAAGAAGCGTTGTTGGAGGAGATGACAGGAGCGTGGCTGGTGGTGGCACCCAGAGCCGTGCGGTCGGGTCGCTGTGCGGAGCTGCTGCTAGCTGCTGAGGACTGTTCTGGCTGGGGTGGGGATGGACGTGGGTCCCCCCAGCTGCTTCTGGCAGCCCTGGGGCTCTGTGGGGCCCCCCTGGCTGGCTCTGCTCACCCCAGTGCGAGGATGGGACTCGCCCCCGCTGCGCACCCCCGTCGACACCATCTCGGCTGCACTGCAGTGGGGAGGTCAGGGGGCTGGAAAATGTGAAAAGGAGAAGTTTCTCCGTCAGCAAGAAGTGACTGTTAGTCTTAGTTCTGTTCATGGTAAAGCTCGTGCGTTGCCTACTGTGAAGAAGCTCTGGTCCTATTTATTTTGAGGTCTCCTATTTTCGGGGTCCCTCCCTGCCAAGGCACCTTCCTGCAGCTCCCCCGGCTCGGTGGGCACCGAGGGCTCTGCGGTGTCGGGGGGATGCGGTGACAAATCCCCTCGGAGCGTCGCAAGGTCAGGCGCCCGCCGCGGGGAGCGGGAGCTGCCATCTTCTGCCGTGGCTCCGCTCTTCTCCCGGCGCGGAGCGGCTCCCGGCTGCAGAAGCCCTTCGTGTCACCGGGAGCTACCTTGCACCCTGGTTGCACTTCTGGAAATGACATGCTGTGTCTCCTTTCTGTTTGTTCGACATGATTCCTGGGTTCTGAGAAATAAAAGTGACGATGCTGTCTGTTAACTGTAACCCTCCATGGATTAATATTTATTTTAAAAGATGCTAGAATTTGTATTAAAGCCCACTCCTAGCTAGTACGGTATTTATTTAATGGCTGTGTGGATAATGTATGAGCATGGGGTCAGGCTGGCTGTCCCGTGACACCAGGAATAGCTGATGCAGAGACAGCTTTTCCTCGCTGCCCGGAGCAGCCTGCTTGTGTGGAGGCCGATTGTCATGTGCATGCAGCAGTGTCTGGGCAATCGGGCTGTTCATAACCTGTTTTTTTTAATTAAAATGGGCAACTTCTCTTTCTGTGCTGTAAGTAGCATGTGTTCAACCTATTGACTCCGCTGTTAATCGTGTGGATGCAGTAACGTAGCCGGGCTCTGGCTTTATTATTACCTAGAGTAGAAGAACCTGGATGCTTGGCAGCCGGTTGTACGAGGGGGTTTTACGCTCTGTTGTAGGACGTGGAAGCGGTGTGCTTGTTCATGTTGTGCTCGTGGGGGTGCAGACGGGTCCCTGGGTTGTGCTGTGGTCCCCTGGCCTCAGGGTGGGGGGGACACCTGGCTGCAGCCCCCCTGCTGGGGTCCCCCTTCTGTAACGGGACCGCTGCCAGGTGGGGATGGGGGGCTCCTCACACAGGGTGCTGCATGGCGGTCACCGTGGCTGCATCCAAGGGGCTTCTCTCTGCCTCCTGTTTTCTCCAGGGCCGGTGTTCTGTACATCTCGGGAGTGCTTTGTATTTCTTAGCAAACGCGGGATTTGTGATACTGAAAAAGAATGGTGCAACCCCCATGTCTGATTAAACTGGCTCCCTGTCGAACGCTGTTGGACGTGCTGTGTCTGTCACCTCACCAACGCCGCTCGGTCCGCTGCTGGCTGCAGGAGCCGGCTCTGCTGGCGGCTGGGCTCGTCTCCAAGCAGGAGGGACCAGAGCAGGCCTGGAACTTCTTGTGCTTGGCCCCTACGAAGTCTTTTCCCAGCCTCGGAGCAGGTCAAGCCCTTCTCTAGCTCTCCACCCTGCCTTGGCAGTGGCGTATTGCCCCGTTAGTGTGTTGTGGGCGTCTGGAAGCCTGAGGTGCTGGGAGGGAGGGGTGCACCCAGGCCCTTCCCTGGGTGCTGGAGGTGCGCTCACCACCTTGAGGACCCTTGGGGAGACCCAGCAGGCAAAGGGTGGCGGGCTTGTGGGGGTCAGAGGGGAGAAGTTGACCCAGATGGGGAGGGTGGAGGTCTGGGGCTAATGGGGCTGGGTTTCTTTTGCTCTTACACCTTCCTCTGGACATCTTGGGCTTGCCAGAGCTGCTCAGTGCCATCCCTGCCTGCAGGAGGGGCCCCAGGAGGCTCAGCTGCTGCCCAGCACTGTCAGGGCTGGATGCCAACAAGAGCTGAGCTGTGCTATCCAGGTTGTGCTTCAGGACTGGAGGTGCTGGGCTGGTTGTTACGGGGGGTACACCTCCCACCCCACAAGAGAGAAAACCCAAATAATGAAAGGCACGGGTGAGTGCCTGCAGCTCCAGAGATGGGCTTGATGGAGATGGGCCTGGTGGCTCCTTGGAGGTGGAGGGAAACAGGGGGACCCCACCAGCACACGCAGCCCCCGGAGCTGTGCTGGCCCCATGTGCGGATCTGCTTGTGCCTTAGCCTGGCCAGGTCCTGGAGCTAGCAGCCCCCCAACCTGCAGTGTCACCTGCTGTCACTGCTGGGGCACAGCAGCTCCCCTGCAGATGCTGATGCTTGGTGGGACTTGCATTGGGGGGGAGGACAGCACCCGGCCTGACCCAGCAGCTGTGCCCTAAATACAGGCCTGGGGAGGCTGCAGCCTCCTGGTCAGGGCACTGCTGCTCTTTTCCAGGCCTGCTGTTGCTGGATTTGGCTGCTGGAAGGGTCTGCGGGGAGTAAAACTTGCTGCCCTCCTGCCTGTGCCCCCAGCACAGCAACAAAGCAGCTCCATGGGCAGCTGCACCCTGGGGAGGAGGCTGCTCCTGGCTGCTCCTTTTCCATCCGCAGGGAGTGCCGGGGGGGGGACTCTTGGGGGGACTGCCTGAGTTGCCACACCCCCCCCGGGGGCACAGTGAGCTGCTGCCTTCCCCCTGCTCCTTGCAGGGCCCCCTTGGCCTTGCCTGCAGCAGAACTACAAGGTACGGCAGGGCTCCTCCACCTCCCCTCGGCTCCTCCACCTCCCTTCACTCCCTCCCCTGCAGTGGAATGTGCAGGGCCCCTCACCCATCCTGCAACCCCCTCGGGGGTGCTGCTGCCCCCTGCAGCCCCCGAGCTGCGGGCTCGCCCCTTGCCCTGCACGCACCAGAGGTGGAACAAAATGGCCCAGCTCCCTGGCGCTGCTTTATGCAACCTCACTGGGGCGAGCTATAAATAGGCGCAGCTGATGCCAGGGGTGGCTCCGAGGGGTGTGCGCTGCGATGAGCTGCGCTGCTGGAGCCGTGCGTGCACGCAGCAGGCAGCTGAAGCTCCTGGGGGGGCTCAAAGGGAAGGGGCTCACCCTGGGAGGTGCCCGTTTACCCTGAGGCTGGCTGCAGGGTGGGCGAGGGCCCCTCCGTGGCACTGCCAGCTGCAGCAGCGCAGGGGCTGCTCTCCTGCCTCTGTGCCAGGAGACCCCCGCCCCCCTCCTGCACACAATCTTGGCTGCAGAGCCCCCTCGCCCCCCCCCCTTCCTTCCCCACGACAGCTCCATTTATTTTTTATTTTTTTATCAATTTATTTGAAACGACGACAAATGAAAAGAGAAAAAAAAAATAATAAAAAAAAACAACCTCCCAACCCACAAAAATACGTAACCAAACCCACCCCTAAAACGCATTAAAAAAAAAAAAAAAAAGACAAAAAAAAAAAGAACGTAAAGGCCATCGGAGATGCGACCTCAACGGCAGCCGCGGGGCCCTGCGCCGGGCCCCCACCCCCCCCCCCCGCCCCCTCCCCGGGCTCACCCCGCCCGCCGCCAGGGGAGCCCCGGCCCTTTAAGAGCGCCAGACGCCGCGGCAGCCAATTGGCGCCCGCCGGGCCGTTGCCATGGCGCCGGGGGCCGGGAGCCAATAGGGGGCGCCGTGGCTTTTCGAAATGGCCGCGAGCAGGCACGGGGCGCCCGGCGGGAGGGGCGGGGAGGGGGGCGCGGGCGGCGGGAGCCGGCCCACGTGGCGCGGGGGCGCCGCAGAGCGGCTGCTATGGGAACCGGGCGGGAAGGGGCCCGGCGGGAGGGGAGGGTGGGGGGGAGACCGGAGGGGATGGGGGGGGCACCAGAAACCGTCGACGAGCGGGGAGGGGCACGGCTGAAAACAAAGGGGCGCGATGGGGGGGAAGCCGCGGGGATGGGGGGCGGGGGAGGGAAGGCGCCGAGGGGACGGGGAAAAAGGGGGGGGTGGTGGGTAAATGGGGGGGGCTGGGGCAGCCGCAGCCCCGCTCACCGCGCACGGCGGCGGCTGAGGAGTCGGCGACACAAAGCGGGTCCCCGGGGGGCTGTCCTCAGAGCAGTCCGTGCCGTGGGGCTCCCAGTCCTGGCGGGGAGGGGGGGCCCCCCCTCCGCCCCCCCCCCCAGCCCGGGGCTCCCCGCGCCCCGCTCTCATGCCTTCCTGCTCTTGAGCGCCTTGGGCTTTGCGGACTTCTTCACCTTCTTGCCCCCCGGGGACGCGGCTCCCTTCTTGGTGGCCTTCTTGGCTTTGCCTTTGTCCTTCTTCGCCGCCGCGCTGCTCGCTCCCTTCTTGTGGGATTTCTTCTCGGGCTTCTTGCTCTTGGCCGCGGGCTTCTTCTCCGCCCGCCGCGACGCGGAGGCCGCCGCCTTCTTGTGGGACTTGTGGGCGCTGCTGCCCGCGCCCCCGTCCCCACCGCCCTCCAGCTTCTTCCTGTTGAGCTTGAAGGAGCCGTTGGCGCCGGTGCCCTTGACCTGGAGCAGCGTGTCGTTCTGCACCAGCGCCTTGATGGAGTACTTCAGGTAGGTCCTGCCGTTCTGCTGGTCGAACCAGGCCACCTTCTTGGCCTCGTTGTAGATCTTCGCCAGCGAGGAGCCATTACGCTCGCCCAGTTTGCGGATCGTCTCCACCACCAGCTGGCTGTATTTGCCCGGCTGGTTCTTCTTCTTGTTGTTCTTTTTCTTCTTCGACGGCGACAGCGAAGAGGAGCCGCCGCCGCCGCCGCCGGCGCTCTTCGCTTTCTTGGCGGCCGCCTTCTTGTCGGCCGCGATCGGCACCTCCTCTGCCTCGGTCAGGGGCAGATCGGCTTCTTCCAGCTCCACCGACATGGTGCCGGGAGGAGAACGGGCGGGCGGCGGCGGGCGGGGGGCTGCAGGCGCGGCGTGGCGGAGGCCGGGCGGAGGGGCAGCTGCTCTCCTGCTCCGCTCCGCTCCGCGCCGCCGCCGCCGCGCTCTGGCGGGGCGGGCGCCGCCTCCCGCCTTTATATGGGCGCGGGGCGGACCACGTTGAGAACAACAACAGCGCGGTCCGCCGGCCAGCCCCGACTTGTGCTTCTTGGGGCCCTTTCGCGGGGCTCCCGCGCCGCCGCCCGGCCCCCCCGCGCCCCGCCGCCCGCCCCGCGCCCCGCGCCCCGCCGCCCCCCGCCCCGCCGCCGCCCCCGCGCCCCCCGCCGCCCGCCGCCCGCCGCCCCCCGCCGCGATTTCGGGAGCTCTCCCGGCGCGGCGGAGGGAACGAGGAGGGGGGCGCCCGGTGCGGCGGCGGCTGGAGCCCGACCGCGACCCCCCCGCCCCGCGCCGCCGCCGCCCCCGGCCGCCGAAAAGGGGCCGCCGCGGCCGGGGGGCGACGGAGGGCGGCGGGGGGGGGCGGCGGCGGCGCTGGCCCCGGGTTCTCCGGAGGGAACTAACACAGGCGACGCCCTCCCGCGGCCGCCGGCAGCAGCGCGGAGACGCCGAGCCCAGAGCGGGGGTCCCCGCCCCGGCGATGGGGGCCGCGCCCCCCACCGCCCCCCAGCCCCGCTGCAGCCCGGACGGGGCCCCCCCGGTGGGGGGGGGGTCCTGAGGGACTCGTGTATTGTGCCCCCCCCCCCCCCCCCCCCCAACAGATCGAGCATCAAGGGGTGGGGGCAGCGCGGAGGGACCCGGGGGGCTGGTGGGAGGGGGGAGGGGGGCTGGGGGCACCCCCGGATTGAGAGATTTGGGGGGGGGGGGGGCGCAACGTTGTCGTCTCCGGAGCCCGTCCGCCCTGAGGGGGTGGGGGGCGGCTCCTCGCTGCAGGCCGCAGCTCTGCAGGGCCGGGGGGGGCAACAGCGGTGCGAGGAACACCCCCTGCGGCCCCCACTTTACACCCTCCCCCCAAAAAAAAATCCCACGGGGGAAACGAGGATGCAGGGGGGCGGGGGGGGGGGGGGGGGAAGACACACGAATGGGGCCCCCTTGCAGAGCCGTAGGGCGGGCCTGGAGGGGCCCCGAGCCCCAGCACCCGGGGAATCAAAGGGGGGGGTGTGCGGAGGGGGGGGTGGAGGGGGGGGGTCTATGTGCCCCCCAGTGTCGCTGGGCCGGGGGCGAGTGCGTGGGGGCACCCCCGTGCCCTGGGAGGCCGCACGCGTGTGGCGGGACGCGGGGCACACCCCCCACACCCCGTGTGTGTCCCCCCCCCCCCTTTACACACACACACACATGTGTGCCCCCCCCCCCCACGCTCACACACATGTGCACACGCACCCGCGGCACGCCCCCTGCCCACGCACACCGCGCCGAGCCCGCACCGCCTCCTCCCCTCCTCCTCCTCCTCCTCCTCCCCCCATCCCCCGGCTCCTCTCCGCCATTTCCCTCTCTCTGGCCCCCCCACCGCCGGCCCGAGGCTCCCCGCCCCCGTTCTCCCCCCCCAATCCCCTCTGGAGCCCTCCCAGGGGGGTCCCCGCGCCCCAAAAAATCACGGGGAGGGGTCCCCAGCATCCTCCCCCCCTTGCTGGGGCCGGATCCTGCCCCACGCCCCCCAGCCCGCAGCGGGTGCCCACCGCCGAGCCCCCTCCCCGAGCCCCCCCCCGCAGCATCCCTGCGATGAGTTGCGGCCGGGCTCAGCCTCTGGTGGGGAAATATGTGCGTGCACACCCAGGTGTGTTTTTTTTTTATAGATATCTACATATAAAGTACACATAAAATACAGAGGGGAGATATAATTTGTGCCTGCGTGCACGTCGGGGGGGGGCAGCATGCTACTTGCACACCCCTGTGGCTGTGGGTGCCTGCGGTGAGAGCAATGAGGATGCACACACGCGTGATGAGCGGCTGGGGCAGCCGGGTGAGCACGCTCAGGCCCCAAGGAGAGGGTGGAGAACAGGAGCAGAAGTGTGTCAGTACATGGGGGTGTAAAAATTTAAGTAAAAAATGGGGGGGGAGAGGGTGAGGGTCTGTGTTTGTGTGTGCGTGATCATCCCGCCCACCCCCAAAAAAAAAGGATAATGGAAAACGACACAAATGGATAAAAATAAATATAAAAGTGGATATAATTATATTAATTTGGACCCAGTTGAAAAAAAAAATACATGGGGAAGGGGAGGAGGGGGGTGTGTATGCATGTGTGCACGGCTCCAAGAGGGGTCTGCACAGAGCCGGGGTGCAGCCAGCCCCCACCACACGCACACACAACTACACACATGGATACACACACACACACACACAGATACACACACAGATTTTTGGCTGCACACAGCAGCTGTACAGGTATGTGCACGGTGTGGTCACGCAGTTCTCATCCTGTTTAGCTGGGTGCCTACAACACAGACATGCACACAGAGCTGTGCACATGCTGTTCTCTCTCTGCATATGCTTATATCCTGAGCGAGCTGCTCCCAGACACAATGTCTCTTGCTATATAATATATATATATTTTACCTTTATATGGCTAATGTAGCTACAGAACTGCACACACACACACACAAAACCACACTTACAGACAACTGCTCACATGCCACATACAGGGAATGTGAGCAGCATTCTTTCTCTTCCCTGCTCCCCTCTCTCTTTGCCCCTGGCTATATACACAGTGCATCTACATTTATACAGGCACGCAGAGGGAGGGAGCTGCTCTGTCTCTCACAGACACACACTTCTCACCATATATATGTGTGTGTGTGTGTGTGCATAGGGGCTGAGCTGTTCACACAAACACCCTGTGTATGAATATGGCTGTTCACACAGCAGCATTTACACAGTTCACTCTCTCTCTCTGCAAATATATAGAGAAAACACGCTAATCTCACACACTGTTCTGTCAATAAGGCTATACACACGTACATGTGCACACAGAGACCTGCACGCAGGCACACCCCTCTCACTCTATACGTATGCTTATATATACAGCTATGCTAGGAGAGCTGGCCACACATACACAATTTCTCTCTCTATACACATACATAATGAGTTGTATACACACACTGCTTTATATAGCTATGCTCTGTGAATAGGTACTTACACACAGAGCCGTCTCGAGGTATGTATGCACCTATACATACATGCTGAGAGCTGGTCACAACTCTACAAATCGCTTTATTGACACTTTACAAACATATATAATTAGTGCTGCACACACACGTTGTCTCTAGCTCTGTACAATGCATATACACTGAAAGGGAATGCTGTTCTCACACACACATCATGTCCTTTCACCATATAGCTCCATGTGCACATACAGACACAGAGCGAGCTGTTCACACACAGACACACTCTCATGTCTTGCCCTCTCTGCATGTGTACATCTGTGCCACGAGACAGCGTGCTTGTCACAGGCACACGCTGCTTTCCCTCCCTCTCAGTAAATACATGTAATTTAGATGTGTCCTTACAGACACAGGGAGAGTTCTCCACACACAAGCACTAACTAATCTCTCCCCATCTTTCCATACACACCTATATCTGTACACACACAGAGGGTGAGAGCTGGTAACGCATTATTCCCTCTCTTACTATGTATATACACACACATTCGCACACCCACACAGATATCATCCACTACAGACACTATTTATATACATAATTGTGTGTGCACATGTGTATGTATCCCCTGCCCCCCTCCAAAGTGTACAATCTGGGGTGCGTACATCTATGCATGTATGTTTCTCTCAATATCTAGTTTGTGTGTGTGTGTATTTCACAGAATCACAGAATTTCTAGGTTGGAAGAGACCTCTCTGCCTGGCAGCTCTCCAACCACTCCTTTCCCAGCCTGTAGCTCTGCTTGGGGTTATTGCGCCCCAGGTGCAGGACCCGGCACTTGGCCTTGTTGAACTTCATACAGTTGACCTCAGCCCATCGGTGCAGCCTATCCAGATCCTCCTGCAGAGCCAAATAAATGCCTGCCCACAATTAAACCTCGGTGCTCTCGGGCTGTGTCCGTGTAAGTACCTGGCCAAACCCACACAGCTGTGCCCCCTGGACCTACCAGCATGTCCATGCCCTGCTTCCTCGAGCTCTCTCGCTCTCCAAGTACGCACAGCCATACATACACACTTTATAGTCTGTGTGAATGTATTTATAAATGTAAATCATGCACAAATATTCAGCGAGAACCAGCTCTGTGCACCCATACAGCTGCGAGACGTGTTTACGTGCTGCCGTGCCCACATCCCCCTGTGCACCTGGGGGCTGCGGGCAGGGGGCTGGCAGTGGGGTGATGCTCGCGGGGGGCTGGCGGCCGTTTGGGGCCGCAGGTGCACGGGGCCGGGGCTGGCTCCCAGCCTAGGTACGGGCTGAGCTCTCCCACCCTGGCACCGCAGTTCGGCCTTCGTGCTGGCAGCGAGGGTGGAGGTCGGCTGCTCTTTGCTTCGATGATGGGGGTGGTGGCACTTTGCCCCATTTCTGCCCCCGAGGGCAGCAGGGTGAGTGAGGCTCTGGGGGTGAGGGTCCTGCTGTGCAAGAGGCAGCTGCTGGCCCTGCTCCCCGCAGCGGGGCTGAGCAGGAGGCTGCCCATGGTGGCGGGGTCCTCGTTGTGATGGATGGGAAGGGAGGGGAGGGTGGTGTTTTTCAAAAAGCTTGAATGGATTTTGAATCAGTCCAGGCAGCATCCGCCTCCCTGGGCTCCTTCAAACCGTGGTGAGGGCTCCGTCCTGCAGGAGCATCTCTGCCAGCATCAGCTTCTCCACGTGTAACAGCAGGGCAAGCTCAGAGCACCACTTCCCAGGCCTCTTGCCTCCCGTACTGTTTTCTGTACCCCCGTGTGCATACCTATCACATCCCCACCTCCAAAAGTGTTGGTTTGTAGGTGGCATATCGAATCCTCCCCTCCCCTTCAGCACCCGTAACATCCTGTGGCTAGGAGCACTGCAGCTGACCGACCGATGTGGAGCTCTGTTTGCTTTGTGCAGCTGTTTGGTTGATGTGATAGAGCTTAAGCAGTGTCTGCACAGGGCTCTTCCAGAGCTGCAACGCGCAGCCCTTCTCATGCTACAGCCTGGCCCTCAGCTCCAGGAGCCCCAAGGCCC